ATATATAAATTTGAATATAATCAAGGTGATCTTTGTGTAAGTCATCAAGGGTGAGAGGGCTCAACCGGTTGGGTCCATGTGAATTTATTACTACAAACTTGTTTCGTATGGACAGCTGTCAAAAGCTGCCAACACTCATCAGGTTCAAATACATAGTGTAAAATCAGGGTACAAGAATTACATTTATGCTAAGAGATAAGGCGAATATACGTTGCTATGGTTCCTACCATTATTTAGCTGAGGTGTTAAGTTGTTAAACAATAGATTTTTTTTCTGTGTCACATGAAGTTACCAAATCATTTCTGTTATTTATTGTGTCTAAATTTGGTTTACAAATTTTGAAATACTTTTCCATCAGGCATAGATTACACTTTTTTGGAGCCTGAGAGTATGGCTTGCATTTGGCTAGGATTTTCCATTTTAACGAGTACAGGATAGAATTATCTTTAAGGGTCCATATATATTGGCTAAGAGTTATAGCATTTTTGTGTCCTGTTCCTGAAGTTACAGTTATGTCCGTTGTATTTGGTTTTGAATGTGTGGTCTGTCAGTCCAATGTACGTTTCTTGGGTTTGGTCGTCATATCTGGTAACTGTCTGTCGCTTGGTATATAACTCTTTTGATTAAGCAGTTTCCTTCTAATGAACACTTTACATTTCTCCTGCAATTACGATTATTTTGTCACTGGTGCGGTAGAATCTGTTGTTTCGTTTTTCAGCAGCGTCTTGTTGTAGCTTGAAATTATCTGTTTCATATTGGGCATAAAAATGTAGCTTAATTTCCGGTTAAATATTTTTCTGAGTGGGGCATTTGGAGGGTATGATGAATCAATGATAGATAGGAATTTATGGCCTATGTTGGTTGAAACATTGTCGCTATACGGTAGGTTGAACCAGATGATTTTACCTTGTCTATTTCGACTGAGATATATATAAAAATTTGAATAAATATATATAGGTCTATATATATAGCCTATATGTATATATACATATATATAGGCCTATATATATATTATATATATATGTTTTAATTTTAATTTAAATTGTTTTGCATTATATGGCCGTTTGCTGTTTTATGGGTTTTTCCCATTTGCCTTTCAAACTTT